GGGCTAATACAGTTATATAGTCAAATTAAAATTAAAATGTTCGTCAATGGTTGTGTGAGTTGTGGTTCGTGATTGATTTTGGTGTGTTGTTGGGAAAGGGGTGGGATGGGAGGATGTGATCGTAACACGGTTAGAAAAACAATTAGGATGTGGACGTGTCATCACGCGTTAGGGTCGCGGGGTTACGATCACATCCTCCCATCCCACCCCTTTCCCAACCACACACCAAAAACAATCACGAACCACAACTCACACAACCATTGACGAACATTTTAATTTTAATTTGACTATATAACTGTATTAGCCCGAGGAAGAAGTCGAAAACGAGCGTGTTTGCTAAAACCATCGCGTTTTCTCTCCACGCCAAGATGGGAATTTTCCATAATGAACGGTAAGTTAAATAGCAGCTTTATTGTAGTTGATAAAAGCGGGACGCTTAATCTCCTCAAGGTTTGGGATTGATCCTAGTGGCCCATTGGTTTCGGGAGATTTTCTTTGTGGAATTTTGCAGAGATATTTTGTTTGTCATCAAATGTTTACTTCTTAAAATATTTGGTATCTGTGCACTCCTTATAGAAGTAGAATAGCAAATGCTAAGTACAATATCCGTTATGCTTTACATTACAAATTGATAATGGAACCGTGAAAATACCGCTTACATCCAGCTTGTAAGGAAATAAGATTGTTGCTTATCCGACCAGTCTGCAGTCTCATTCCTTAATCAAATGGACTGCTGATTGTCCTGGATTGCCGGCACCTACCCACGAGGCATGCTTTTATGTATTGTAATCAAGTGCAGTAATACTCCGGAAGCAAATGCACCGTAATAACACGGGCTTTAAGAAATTAGGATGTGATTTCGTTTAACACGGATTCTTGACGAATATAAATGAACCGCTCAGGAATGTAATGTGATAGAGATTTTTCGCTGCACCGAAAGCACATTTCATTGAATAATGTGTTCAAAGCTTGAAATACATTATTATTATTACCTTATTATTATTCACTGCTTATTTTGTAGCTTAGGAGGCTTTTCCCGTTGAACGGAGAGGTTTATGACTCAAAACCCAGCAAGAACGAAACCAATGTCAAGTATTATTTATCGTCCAGCACGCGCAATTTTGCGATACTACAAAGAATCCCAAAATTTTATGATGGGTTTTTCTTACTACCAAAAATTAATTTCTCTTTCCGCCTACTGCTCAGTCTGAGAAGATAGGCATTCAGTGATTATTTCGGTGGATGTGTTATAACTATCCATGGATCTTTTATCGATTAATCGCTCGTTCTTACATTTCCTCACTTGATACTTACACCACATACTGACTTCTATTATTGAAGATAAAAGCGTTCCTGTTGACACGTGCCTTTGGCGTGTCTTCTATCGGATAATAAAGTGGTTGAACTTAGAAGTGAATTTTATTCCATCGCTTTTTTAGTTTTTCGGTCTGTAGAATATGAGTTATTCTGAAATCCAGCGATAACCGAATTCTTCGCAAAAATTTCTCATTCTTCGTGTAGTGTTTCTAAGTACACATGAATCTAATCGGTGACGTTTTGATTTCATGTTATTTTGATGAACATGTACATATCATCCATTACTGTGTTTCTTCCAACTCTACTGTCCTAATGATTTCCTGTTTGCTTATAGTCTGTTGGTTTGCCATGGAAATTTGCAATTCAAAACCTTTACCCCATTCAATATACCGTGCAACTTTATGAACAATCTACAATTCAAGTCATTCAACCAAACAGTCAGTGGTAGCCTAACGCATCTGTGTGGGCGAATTTCCACTTTCTACACCATTTCTGTGGAGATGTGCTTTACAGAATCAGATGATAGTACATAAATTCAATCAGGTGTCACTTTCATTTGAGTAACCGTGTGAAAAGGGTTTCCTTATCAACAAGCAAATGTGTGTGAGATATGACAAAATAGAATTATGACCTGACGACGTAAGAGCAAATAAAAGCCTGGGCTTTGAGCGTGAGAATAATAGACGTTCAACTGTTATAAGCTTCCTGATCAGTATGTGAGTTTATTTAGAAATGACATTTTCGCAGGTATTTGGGCATTTGTCTATAATAAAGTCTGTAAGTTGAGCTCGAGTGCTTCCATTACTTTTAGGAATGCTTTTCAGGGATTTTACAGTACTTGAAAGTCCTTTTTAAAAACACAGTAAGAACTAGTTAGAAGAAGAAGAAAAGAGTATGCGTGCGTTCACAAATTTAGCCGTCATTTTTGAGTTCTATAAAGTATTCTTAATTGGAAAGAGAAGTATGATAACTTTAGTACTTTGCTGAATGTTTCCTGTACGGGCATGGAACAGGAGAATTTGCGTCATAGTGTGACGCCAGGATAGTTCATCCTGATGTTGGTATGCGTCAATGGCTAGGAGAAAGGAAGAGGACACTATATTCATGAATTGTCAGCCAAAGGAG